TGATGCACATGTACAAACAATCTGACAGGAGTGGATATGTCTGAATCTTTCAACTTGGATAATGATATCAAACTTAGTAAGAGAAGAAAAACCACAAAAATTTCTGGTCATTTTTGGTTGATTTCTCATTCAATTCCTTGCCAATTCACAATTTCAATTTTCATATTAGCTTCTGTATATATAATACAATATAGAATGTTTTATTTAGTTACTCCATCCTCACCTTAAATCTGAAGGCAGGAAATTAAATATATCCCGTTTTAGAAGCGGAAATTGAATTCTCACTCACAAGGAATTCAAAGTGGGAAGGAGTAACTAAATCATAACAGATCATACATATTAAGACTACTCTAAAGGTTAGAATTAAGACTGAACCAGAAATGAAGGAACCAGTACATTGATTTTGGGTAATTTCAAATTCAATTCCTAATTATTCCTAGTTCTAATTTTCATATTATTCACAAGATACAGAATTACAACATATTTTATTGTGTTTGAATCACCACCCCCATCTTGAACTCTTTATGGTGGTATACAATTCGTATTTTTCATGTTAAAATTAAGTTCTTATCGTCAAATAACTTATAATGGGGGTTGAATTTCCATTACAGACAATTTAAGATGGGAATGGTGATAACTCCAATACAAAAAATCATGTCCAAATTATGCATATTTTAACTAACAATAGAATTAAATCTAGGAATTAGTTAAGAATTGAATTTGAAATGAACCAAAAGTGGCATTATTGTTTCTGCAAGCGGAAGAAAATATCTAACCGAAGGCTATACAGAATATTGCAATTCACACTAACAGACATAAACAATAAGATTTTCATAAAATCAAAGAAGGGCAATAGGATGCAGCAACTACATTTGATAGAAGAGTAAAACTATAAATTGGTTAAGCAAGTAAAAGGTTCACAATCTCAACAGAATTTTTATCATTTTTTTGCTAAATAACTTAAAAGATAACATAAAGAGTCAGAAAAGTTTAATCAAATATTTGGCACCAAATCTATGAGAACTATGATGCTTCTTCAGTGGTAGATGAGCTCTGCAACCTTTGCAAAAGAATTTATGGTTTGTATTATCATAGATCAAACTAGCTAGCAATATAGATAAAAGAAAAAAAAATTGTGATCTAAAACAACTAACTAACAACTCTAATTTAAGAGAAGATGAATGTAAAAACAAAGTTGCATTCAAAATGCTTCAAAAATACCTCTCTGCCACCAAGTCCACTCATAGTCTGTAAGCAATCAATCTCAAAAATATAATCATTCTCAGAAACATTGTCTAGATCTTCGGTCCTCATAAGCACTCCAACATATTCACAGACAGGCGCTCCAGAAGGTATGAAATCCCACGACCTAACAGCCCATCCCTTTTTAGGAGTACGAAAAACCTGTCACAATCAGAACCTTTTATCTGAATAACTATATGGCAAACAAAAAAGGACTATTTACATAGTAAAAGAAACATAGCTCATGCTCTAAGTAATAGGTTATGGAAAAAAAAAAACCTCAAGGCGATACTTAATTCCTCTTTGAGATGTCCGGTTTACACAACCAGGTTCACATTTACATCCTGGGCCACACTCAAATATGACATCTTTGGCTTCAATCAATCTGCAAGTAGTTTCAATCAAGACACTAAACAAATAAAAATATAGCTGAAAATAAAGTTGCTATAAAAAGTTCACCTGCCGCCATCACGATGCACATAAGGAAAATCTGAGCCATTAAGCTTAGCACATGCACAAATCCGGGGATCTATGCACTCTCCTTCACATGTGCACCCACCAGCATTGGTTGGAAGGTTCACATTTTGTCCAAGTGTGATATACTTGGAATACGTGAAACCTGAAGTACCCAAAAAAAAAAGAAAAACTAGATAAGCATAGAAATAACACTAAATTATTGCTTTTTTTCTTTTTTTTTTTGAAATATGACATAAAAATATATTGATATCAGCACCAAGGGGAGCCACCTATTTACAAAAATTTACATGTCAATCAACATACCAACAAGATTTACTATATCCTTCATTAAATAAGAAGGTTTGACCCCATAACAAAAAAACAATGGTCTGCAACTATCTTTCTTTAAGTAAATCAACACCATCCACATTCTCAATCCCAACAAAAGTTCTTCTATTCCTCTCCTTCCGCAAAACCCAAAAAATAGTAAGACCGATATTAGGTTCACAAGTTTCCTCCAGCCACTAAAGCCCTTCCATGCCCAGAATTCATCTTTCATCGGTCTTGCCATCACCCAATTGATGTCTAACAAGCTGTAAACCATTGTCCAGAGCATAAAAACCACAGTACATCATAGTAGTACACTGTTACAAGTCTTGTCTACCCTCTTACAAATAGAACAAGTGTTGACCAAGATCTTGTCCTGTCTCCTCAGTTTGTTAAAAGTTAAAATACTGAAAGAAGAACAAGGATGGACCCTAACTTGTCAAGTCTGTTTAAGCAAGAATGTATACCCATTCTTTTCATGCTTAAACAACTGCTTGTAAAAAGACTTAACTGTAAATGACTCATTCGCTGCAAGATGCCACTATGGATTGTTATTGCTTCCATCCAAATTCACAAGGGAGAGAATGCTCAATAAATCCTTATATTCACCAATTTCCCAATTATTGAAATTT